GATCTACTTTTTTTTACATATTTTCAGAAATAACAAAAAAAAAACAAATGTAGATAAAAGTTTTTTTTACATGTTTTTAAATGTAAAACAAGAAAGAAGATCTACATTTTTTTTACATACTTTCAAATGTTGAAAAAACGTATATATATGTTTGGACCATTTAAGGGTTAAATTGGCCAAATTACCAATTTCCGATCACTTTATTTTGTAGTTGAAACAGTTTAATTGGCAAATTCTTGTGCTCAATCGATAGAATAAAAGTAATACTAGTGAAACAGCTAAGAATTTGGTCGACTGGAATAATGTAATTGGCCTAAAATGGGAGTCAAAGTCGGCAAAATCGCCGATTCGTAAATATCGCTGACAAATCAAAATTCACAAGAGGATAATTTCGTCAGTTTTCCATCAAATTTCATACTTTTTGTTTTATTACCTTTAGAAAAAGATTCTCTACCATTTCATAAGAAAAATAATTATTTTTTTTTAAATTCTTGGACACTTGGCCTCTGGACCCTGAAAGGGTTAAAATGTAGATCTGTGCGAGTGACACTGGCATCAGTAACATAGTTCTACGTATGAGACAGCGAAAGGGTTAAACCCAACTGCAGAATTCCTCCACTCTTAACCCTTTCAGGGTTTCCGACGTACTAGTACGGCTTACGCACCAGGGTTATTGATGTACTAGAACGCCTAAATTCTAGCTGGTAGGCCTACATATGAAAGAATGGGTCTATGTGGTCAGTGTGCACAGTATAAAAAAATCCTGCAGCACATAGTGCATAATAAGAAAAAAAAACTCCGACTGTGTTTTTGGTTTAAAACAGCGACTTTGCAGTGTATTTTCATGTGGTATTTATGGTTGTATTTTAGTTTTCCTGGTCTCATTTTATAGAATGGAAGACATATTACAGAAATTGAGATGATTTTGATTGGTTTCTTAATGAAAAGTACCTTGAAATTGATCTCAAAGTAGCAGAAATATTCGATTTTTACCATAGTTCAAAAGTAAACAAATCATGCCAAGCGTCCAATACACGTCAACTGGTGAGTCTGATATTCTTTCACAAGTGCGTTGATATTATTTATACCATTTCTATACCATTTACACACTAATGCAGTAGTCTGCATAACAGTAAATCTACTATTTTTTGTGTGAATAAAAATTCAAAGTGGAAAGCAAAAGAGATGTAAGAGGGGCATGGGGATGTGACTAATGAACAGAGAAAATGTTATTTTAGTGCCAGGAATGTCTGTCTTGCTTATTCTGGACCCCATTTGGGAATTGGCATCTTCTGAAATTTATATGAAATTGGCAAAATTGCCAATTTCTGACCACTTTATTGAATAGTTGAAATCGGTAAATGGGTGGTTTCTTGTACTCATTCGATAGACAAAATGGAGATCTAATGAAATAAATATGATTTTTGTTGACTAGTACACTGGAATTGGCTGAAAATAGGGCTCAAAGTGGGCAAAATTGCCGTTGCATAAACATCGTTGAGACCGCTAACTTCGCGGGAGCATAATTCCGTAAGTTTTGCATCAAATTTCATACTTTTGGTGATGATCAGGAAAAGATTCTCTATCATTTCATAAGAAAAAATATTTTTTTTTTTTGTCCGAAAAATTTTCGACCCTGAGAACGAGTTTAGGAGAGGGCCTCTCAACCCTGAAAGAGTTAAAATAAGGTTTCTAGCTTAGAATTACCATAATTTTACAGGCAGGAAAATAAGATTCTTCAAATATTTTTGCACTGCAGTATGTATTACCTGACTATTTAAAGTGTGTTCATTTTCTAAGACTAAGACATCTTTGTTAATGAGATAATTGCTCTGTTATGCTCTAGGCAAGGAAGCATCATCAGATGTAAGTAATCATTCCAAGATTGTTTACATGTCTCCTTTTTGCTGTGTTATATACAGTGGTACCTTGACTTACGAGTGCTCCAACTTACAAGTTTTCCTAGTTATGAGCTGTTGCTTGGTCGATTTTTTGCTTTGAATTACGAGCCAAAATCCTAGTTGCGAGCGAACTTCAGATACGCTGCCACTAGTTGGCGCAACAAACGCCACAACAGTGCACATGGTTACCTTGTTGTGGAAGCATCTCTCTTGTGTTGTGCTTGCATTTTGTGCAGTTATTTTTACCAAATTTCTTTTTTCTAACCATGGGTTCTAAGAAAGTATGTAAGTGCAAAGGACAGTGCTGAGAAGATGATGTCCATTGAATTAAAGCATGAAATCATAGAAAAACACAAGCGAAGTGTGCTGTCGTCGACTTGGTGAGGCAGTACAAGTGTAGTATGTACTTTGTGCCTCGTGTCTTCTCTGTGAGAAGGCATGAAGGATTTACGCTGTTTTACTTCTGAGATATTCACCCAAAATGTAGACCGGTCTCCTGACTCGGGGGGGGGGGGGAATTCTGAGAAAATCGCTTTTGTTTCAGTGTTTTCCTTATGAAGCTACTGATCTAGTGCATTAGCCTCACAAACACTCTGTTTTCTCTTATAATAAGACCTCAGAAGAGTAAGAATGGAAAGATATGGTCAGAGCGATAATTATTTTTACCTCGGGAGTGGCCGCCACCACTCGTCACATAATGACATATTTTATTCATTCTAGAGTATATATCATGTTTCTATGTTATTTATATTTTTATTATGTCATATTAGATCAATTGTGATAGATAAATAAGCCACAGAGTTGGTATTAGTGTTATATTGAAATATTTTCTCCTGCCTCCCGAGATCCAGGAATTCTCCTGGAATTAATTAATGGCATTTCAGTTTATTTCAGTGAGGAAAATTGATTTGATATAAGAGCAAATTGAGTTATGAGCTGGGTCACAGAATGAATTAAACTTGTAAGTCAAGGTTCCACTGTATGCTGATTTGACTCTTATTGAATTTACGTCCATGCAAGAATATACAATACAGTGGACCCCCACATACCGTTGGCATCACATACCGTTTATTCCGCATACCGCTCACTTTAATTGCAAAAATTTTGCCTCGCATACCGCTCAAAAACCCGCTCACCGCTGTTCGTCCGAGACGCGTCCAATGTGCACCTTAGCCAGCCTCACATGTTCCGCCGGTGGCATTGTTTACCAGCCAGCCTCCGCGGTAGCATCCAAGCATACAATCATAACATTTCGTATTATTACAGTGTTTTTGGTGATTTTATCTGGAAAATAAGTGACCATGGGCCCCAAGAAAGCTTCTAGTGCCAACCCTACAGCAATAAGGGTGAGAATTACTATAGAGATGAAGAAAAAGATCATTGATAAGTATGAAAGTGGAGTGCGTGTCTCCGAGCTGGCCAGGTTGTATAATGAACCCCAATCAACCATCGCTACTATTGGTGGTACAGCTGCTGCTCCTGCTGCCTGTCAGCTGCTGCAGCTGCTGTGCATGTCTGCTGCTGCTGTAGCATCGTCTGCTGCTGCTGTAGCATCGTCTGTGTGCTGTAGCACTGTCAGGCTGTGCTGCTGTAGCATCGTCTGCTGCTGCTGCTGCGTAGCATCGTCTGCTGCTGCTGCTGCTGCTGCTGCTGTAGCATCGTCTGCTGCTGCTGCTGCTGCTGTAGCATCGTCTGCTGCTGCTGTAGCACCGTCTGCTGCTGCTGTAGCATCGTCTGCTGCTGCTGTAGCATCGTCTGCTGCTGCTGCTGCTGTAGCATCGTCTGCTGCTGCTGTAGCATCGTCTGCTGCTGCTGTAGCACTGCTGTTGGTGTGGCTTATTGAGAATATACCAAGAAACAATTAACCCCAGAGGATTTGCCACCCAGGATAACCCAAAAAAGTCAGTGTCATCGAAGACTGTCTAACTTATTTCCATTGGGGTCCTTAATCTTGTCTCCCAGGATGCAACCCACACCAGTCGACTAACACCCAGGTGAACAGGGAAAAATGCCTGGAACTAGTGCTCATATTGGTGAATTTAAAGCCAGCAAAGGTTGGCTTGAGAGATTTAAGAATCATAGTGACATACACAGTGTGATAAGGCCTGTTCTGGAAGAAAATGCCAAACAGGATCTACAGTACTCAGGAGGAAAAGGCACTCCCAGGACACAGTGTCTCATCAGTCATTGCTGCATCTTCAATAAAGGTAAGTGTCATTTATTCTTCATTTAGTAGACTAGTACATGCATAATATATACTGTGCATGTACTACTCTACTATTGTGCATGTATCCTTCTCTTTGTGTGTAGGAAAATGTATATTTCATGTGGTAAAAAATTTTTTTTTTCATACTTTTGGGTGTCTTGTACGGATTAATTTGATTTCCATTATTTCTTATGGGGAAAATTCATTCGCATACCGATTATTTCGCATACCAATGAGCCCTCTTGCACGGATTAAAATCGGTATGCGGGGGTCCACTGTATTTCAGTTTATTATGTCGAATCTAGTAACCTATTAGAAATCTTGATTGATGACCAGATTTTTTAAATTTTTGGCAGATTATATTTCGTTCTAAGTTTGATATCTACTGTGGGCTGCTGAAGAGCCAGATTAATAGTAATCATGATGATGTCATCATGGGCAAGGGACTTACTATACATGCCCACATTACCCAGGTAAAAGTAGATAATGAATTGTATGGGTAGTTACTGGTGTGTCTGCTCCAGATTTTGCCTACTTGTTCTTCAGGGGTTGCGGGCTTCATTCACTTAAGGTTCTAAAAGAATCAAGGTAATGACTATTATTATGTAGTCCCATTTTGGGGATTTTTGGATCGTCGAATTATTGCACATACCATACTGTACAGTAATGTGAAAATTTATGATGGCTATGGAAGTGGGTGAACAAGAAGATTAGGACAGAAAGTTTAGTAGATTTGGTGTAAAACTTTTTTTTTTTTTTAAATTCCTGTAGATGTGCAGGATTTTGAGAGGGGTTAGTGTTTTTGTGAAGACTGAGGCTAGAGTTGAATGTTTTGTTTTAATGGATTTAAATAACAGTACTGCATTCTTAAAATAAATGATGTGTCTTGACAGGTTGCACCAAGAGATGGAAGCCTTCTACTCCTGGATGTGTCCCAGCGAAGAAGAACATACTATGCGTAAAAGAGTGGTAGAGAGAATAGAACAAGTCATTGTTGACCTGTGGCCTCAAGCCAGAGTGGAAATTTTTGGTAGCTTTCGAACTGGTCTCTACTTGCCCACCAGGTAAATACTGTGTATACTTCTCATGTGACAATAGGTGATGTATAGCCAGGATAAGGTAACAATAACAATTGACATCATCTTGCTGCTGTTTTTCTGGAAGATCAGAGACTATGGTCAGTGAAATACATATGTTGGTTTAGTGATCAAGGGAAAAGGGTGTCCTGTAGATACTTATTAATAACTGAGTGAGCTTTAGAGGGAAAACCTTGCACTGATGTTGAAGATGGTCCTAATTTCCTATGAAAGACTTATCAGTATCAAGCATGTGTTTGGAAACATCTTTGTCACAACAGTAGTAATATACCTGTGACTGACTTGATGGATTTCTGCCTCTGCAACAAAACCTGGGTCTGGGCTTTTCTGTTAATTGATTAATTGTCTGGGCAACCAGGCTGTTGCTTGGTGGCCCACTTGCTCACAATAGGCATCACAGCCTGACTGATCTGGTACTTAGCAGATGCAGTAATCCAATTTTTGTGTGTTCTACCAGTGCGACTTTCATGCATATTTTGGTATGAAGCTGTGTCGTAGTGTTTTTGTCTGTTTGCAGTGAGGATGAGTAACAGTAAATATGCCTTAACTTGGGTTACTGAACTTTTTTACTATGCTAAGGCTAGATTTTGTTTTGTTTACTACTACTATGTATTTATTTGTTAAAAGTTTTAATATCCATATCCCTACTTTTCCAGTCATACCTGTTGACCTTATTTTATGAATTATCGCTCCATTTGTCAGTTATCCTAGCAAAGCAAGTATAAACCACATCACCATTTTAGGTTTCTTTTAAAGCTTCAGTAATTCTGTCCTAATGATCTAGTAGTTGTCAGAAGCCTGATCTTACTGTTCTGAATCGTTATTGGCTTGGGTTGTGTGTGTTGTGCTGTTTCTTAAAAGTTGTAATTTGACATCTTACCACTCTTTCAAAGATTTTTATGATGTGTGATATTAGTGCTACTGGTTTGTAATTTTTACAAGAGCTGTACTGCCTTCTTTCTGCAAAGAAGCTGTGTCTACACTTATTAACCCTTAACTCTTTCAGTGTCATCACCCTTGAAATTAAAAGTGCTGTTGGTGTCATAATAATAAAAAAAAACAGTCTTGAAAAAGAGCACATTTTTCTTTGCATAATAAAGCCAAAAATCCCATTAGTACTTAGTCCTTTCATTGTCCAGACCCTGAATTTAATAGTACTTCTCACAGTGTCCACTTAAAGAAAAAAAAATTTTTTTTCTTCTGAAATGGTTAAGAATCTTTTTCTGAAGGTAATGGCATCAAAATACAAAATTTGATAGAAAACTTAGAGACGTACACAGGTGCAAAGTTAGCTGTCTCGGCACAATAGATACACTTGCAATTTCGCTGGCTTTGAGTCCTATTTTAAGCCAATTTCATTGCTCCATTCAACCAGATTCTTAACTATTTTGCTAGTGTACCTTCCATTCTATTGATTAAGCATAAGAAACCTCCCATTCAACATTATTAACTACCCTGTACAGTACACAGAAGTTGGAATTTGACCACTTTTAAACAATTAAAAATTGCAAATATAAAATGAGTAAAAAATAATGTAAATATTCTTGACGTTAAAACATTCTTTTTTTTAACTCGTTGGTCATTTCCCCACTGAGGCAGGGTGTCCCAAAAAGAAAGAAAAAACTTTTGTTATCATTTAACACTTTCACCATCACTCACAATCACTATCTTTGCAGAGGCGCTCACATACGACAGTTTAGGTGTCCCTCCGAACTGCCAATATCCCATGCCCCTCCTTTAAAGTGCAGGCATTGTACCTCCCATTTCCAGGACTCAAGTCTGGCTAACTGGTTTCCCTGAATCCCTTCACAAAATATTACCCTTCTCACACTCCAACAGCTCGTCAGGTCCCAAAATTCATTCGTCTTCTTTTACTTCTGTCTATCACGCTCACGCACACTTGCTGGAAATCCAGGCCCCTCGCCAACAAAACCTCCTTTACCCCCCTCCCTCCAGCCCTTTCAGGAACGACCCCTACCCCGCCTTCCTTTCCCTACAGATTTATACGCTCTCCAAGTCATTTTAGGGTGTTCCATTCTTTCTAAATGACCAAACCACCTCAACAACCCCTCTTCAGCACTGACCAATACTTTTAGTAACTTCAAACCTCCTCCTAATTTCCACACTATGAATTCTCTGCATAATATTTGCACCACCCATTGCCCATAGACACGTCATCTTCACTGCCTCCACCCTCCTCCTTGTTGCAGCAATTGAAACCTATGCTTCACATATCCTCTATTCATTAATCAGTGGATTCAGGGTGACACCTCATGAAAAATAAGAATAAGTTAAATTATTTGACTTTCTTAGGTTTTCCTTGGTTAAAAATATACAGTTGTTGTATTGTACGTTGTGCCCGTAACACGTGTATCCCCTTGAAGCTCTATGTACCTGCACAAAAAAAAAATTATTAACAGTTGATTCAGGGTGTGATACGTCATGAAACATGGAATTAAGTCATGTTCAGCTTTCTTGGGTTATCCTGGGTTAAATTGGATGAGGAAATGTGATAGTGAATTACCCATGGGAAAAAAATAGGTTACATTCAGTGCCACCTCCAAAAATGTCAAACATCTTATCTTGTAAATACACAATTCACCAAAAATAATATGCTAAGTACTATTTTAGTGATTTTAAAAAGCATGTCGATGTTATGGACACATTAAAACATGTTCTTTTTCTTTCAACAAACCAACCATATCCCACAGAGGCAGGGTGGCCCCAAAAGAAAAAAGTTTCTCTTCATAACTTTAGTAATGTACACAGGAAAAGGGGTTACTAGTCCCTTGCTCCTGGCATGTTAGTCGCATGGCTTATGGAGGAAGAATTCTGTTCCATTTCCCCATGGAGAATTAAAACATGTTGTTGTAGTACAGTGGTACCCCGAGTTTTGGCCATAATTTGTTCCAGAAGGCTGTTCAAGTGCTGTTACTGAACAAATTTGTTCCCATAAAAAATAATGTAAATCAGATTAGTCCGTTTTAGAACCCCAAAAATACACTTACAAAAGCACTTATAATAACACACTTAGGTAATTGTTCTAGTTGGGAGCTGTATGAAACTCGAGGTACCACTGTATAATCCCCTCAAGGGAGGTTCCTTCATGCTGGTGAGGGACTCTTGATCTAGGGAATTGGATCTGTGCTCCGGTTCCCTGAATTGGGCCTGATTACTTTCCATCCCCTCTCCCCCCCACGTGCACTGTATAATCCTACGGGTTTAGCACTCCATGATTATAATAATAATAACCATAGTATAATACAGAATAATTTAATCTACCATAACCTAAGAAAGTCAAGCAGTGTGAATACATTTACGTTAAATTCTAATTGTTGTTAAAGTGGCTTAACATCAGTGAAGAGTTATGGTTTGGCTCAACTGGGCTTCGGTTGGGGTGGATGAAGTGGATGGCTGGGGTATGTGGGCTGAGGTCGACACAGAGCTGTTACAGGAGCCTTTAAGTATTCTGTTGTGTGTATTGTGTTTTACCCAGAAGTACCTTATTCATCTAATGGTAGGGCATCATTGCTTGGTTCACCATCCATTTTAGAGCAGTGTTTCTAGATGTGTCAAGGTTCTCTCTGGTGAAAAGTCTGCAAGTTCAACAGAATCTTGGAACCGTTCACATAACTTTTGAAGTGTTAACTTTGCAGGCTCTTCCTCTTCAACTTCCTGAGTCCTTTCTATTTGGGAATTCAGCTCTGCCAACATTTCCTCTGGCCTTCTTTCTTCCTTCTCATCTTCTAATAGTTCATTGATGTCTTCTGGCAGCGTGTCTTTAAAGCTCTCACCTGGCAGTCTCCTTGCCAGCTGAACAATTTTCTCACCCTGTGAAATTATTCACCACACTAGGCCATAATTCTCTCCAGACTGCATTTTTTGTTGATTTCGGCACTGTATCTGACGCACCTTTGATTTCGGGTTAGGCATTTGCACTGTTGATTTTATGCTATAACTCGGGCATTTCAAGCTCTTAAGTCATTATCCATTGTTGCAAGCAGTTTGTGCATCACTCTGCATGTGTAGATACACTTAAATGATTATATTACCCCTTGATCTAGTGGTTGTATCAGTGATGTCGTATTTTATGGTCAAAAAACAGCCTTAACACTTGGTTTAAAATCTTGTAACTGGTCAGGATGAGCATGTAAATTATCAAAAAGATATGAAAATAAGGTAGGTAGGTAGTAGGTTGGTAGACAGCACCCACCCAGGGAGGTACTACCATCCTACCAGATGAGTGTGAAACATAAGCCTGTAATTGTTTTGCATGATGGTAGGATTGCTGGTGTCTTTTTCTGTCTCATAAACATGCAAGGTTGCAGGTATGTCTTGCTACTTCTACTTTAGTCACACTACACATGAATGTACAAGCATATATATACTAACCCCTCTGTTTTTTCTTCTATTTTCTTCGTAGTTCTAGTTCTTGTTTATTTCTGCTTATCTCCCTGGGGAAGTGGAACAGAATTCTTCCTCCATAAGCTATGCATGTCATAGGAGGCAACTAGATGCCGGGAGCAATGGGCTAGTAACCCCTTCTCCTTTATAAATTACTAAAAAGAAGGAAAAGAAGAACTTTATAAAATCGGAATGTTTGAATGTGCGTGGATGTAGTGCAGATGATAAGAAAGAAGTGATTGCAAAAGTTATGAATGAAAAGAAGTTGGGTTTCCTAGCCCTAAGAAAAACAAAGCTGAAGAGGGTAGGGGAGTTTCAGTGGGGAGAAATAAATGGGATTAAGTCAGGAACAAATGGATTTGTCAGTTAAAAATAGGAGAGGAGAGTTATTAAATGGAGAGTTAGAGGTATTGGGAAGATGGAGGGAATATTTTGAGGAATTGTTAAATGTTGATGAAGATAGGGAAGCTGTGATTTCGTGTATAGGGCAAGGAGGAATAACATCTTGTAGGAGTGAGGAAGAGCCAGTTGTGAGTGTGGGGGAAGTTCGTGAGGCAGTAGGT